ACATTTACGGGCAAATGGGTCGAGCGTATTAGCCAATCAGAACGCGCGCTTCGCTAAGGCTATGTTATAATAAGTTTGGGCGTAAAACTGAATACTTACGTGCGAAGAGCTCTTGACAAAGTGAGTGTTTATATCGATCAAAGTGCTGGACATCGATCATAAAGACTTGGACAGCCTAACGACGAGATCTTACTCAGAAGAAGCTCTTGAGCGTTTTCCCGTACTGTTGTGCACGGTTGTAGTCCATAACAGACTGTTCCAGTTTTCTCTAAATTTCAGGTAAGACAATATCTGCAATTCGACTTGAGTGTTACCGTATTCGTGACGAATCCGTTAATTTTGGTTCCAGAACTTTTTACATGTATGCTTGACTCTAGCAGTGATACCTTTGTATCAACTGCACTCCGAATCGTGCCACGAATATGGACGCCTTGAGAAAAATACTATGTATCGGAACTTTTCGTTACGTAAACATCGAATTTTATTAAGATGAAAGAATCGCTAGTAACTGGCTTTTAAAAAGACTTTTCACGGACTTGGGCTTGTTTGTGCGTGGCTCTGCACGTCGAGTTTTCCAGAAAATGAACAGTTTTTAAAAGGTATTGCAAATGTGGGTGAATTCTCCAATTTTGGGAATAGATTTGTGTGACGTAACATCATGCAAACCACGTATGTAGGATAAGCGATGGATATCCATTGCTTATCGTGCATTCGTGGTTTGCATGATGTTACGTCATGGCCGCTATGCCGTACCATGCGAGCCCACCGAGGTTATTTTTCGCTCTTATTTACATGTACCGGTGATGGAAAGTTCCTGCCATTTTCATCTCTTGCAACTGGCTGCAAATAGTCAATTTGAAGCCCTGAAAAGGGCAGAGGTAATTTGATCAACCAAAAAATAAGATTGTTAGTTGACTAACACCAGCCCTACCTTTGTCATAAGTCAATCACCTAGGAATGCGGCTGTGAGTATTTATATTTTTATCCAAGATATATTGGGACCTAAGAAAACTAACATTAATATGTAGTAGAGACAGTCAGCACAAGGCAAAGGTTGGAAATCTTTGTAAAGATCAATACCGGCAAGGTTTGCATGGCTGCAATAGCTGTTATTACAGTCATCAGCGGTTTGACGTGCAAACGAGGCGAAAGGATCAATTCTGCTTTGTATTGCCCCATTCGCCTCGTTTGTATATGCCTTTTAATTGAACAAAAGAATATTTGACCGCAGGCTCAACTGTAATATCAGCTATAAGCAGATACTGACAGGAGATGGGTCAGGATTTTAAAAACGAAATATCAGATATGTGACAACTCTCCAAGTGCCTTTTATTCGGTGAAAAATGTGCAGGATCTCAGAGTCTCAATATGACTACTGAGGAGCTAGACACAATAAATGAAAGATCTTTATTTTCTCGATTTCAGCATTCTAAAGGCTGTAATTAATATACAGGTAGCCTTAGAATGCTGATGTAATATGTATGTGCCTTTTAAACCTGTTTTCAATTTGATCATAATGATCATCTGTGTCATTTCAAAATAGGTCCAAGCGACTGAGAAGATCACATAGAAACCCTCCTTAGGCAACAGGGACCATGCTTATGATTGGACAGTCACAGTTGCATTGATCTCTTCAAATTCTATCCAGGACAATTGAGAAAGTTTGCAAGCTACATGTACTTGTGCCAAATGGAAACATTCTCAGACAATACAATCCAAATCTATTTTGAGAGGAATGATGCTATTAAATGGAAACTTATGTATTTATTTATCCGTCCGTTTAAGTAGCTTAAGAAATCGAAAACATGTACCGTGTTTCTTTCGAGTTATAGAAACATGAGTGGAAGTTTGGGAGAAAGAGAAATGCTGTGGGAATGTGAGCCACAGGCAAGTGTTTCCACGGCTTTTTCGAGTTCTCCCAAACTTTCACAAGTGTTTCTATTACTCAATAGTAACACAGAGAACATGTTTTCTATTTCTTTTAGAAAACACCGTGACGAAAAAAGGAAAACAACTTGTTAACTATGATTAACAAAATGAAACTTCTCTTTGCTTGGGCCATGATTACGTCAACAGCTCACGCTAGTTCTGTGTTTCTATTGAGTTATAGAAACACGATTTTTAACCAATCAGCGTGCATATTTTCTTAGGACTGTTTTCTGAATTGCTTTAATTGATATAGCACTATTGTTAGGTTGAACTGCTTATTAATTCAGTTATCTGCAAGAAAGTGGAATGAAAAATTTTTATTTTTTATTCTTTTTTAAACTTAGAACTATTGCTATCATCCTGCTCACTTCAAACTGTTTTTAGACAATGTACCCCAGGACAATCATTAGGGTTGAATACCAACCAAGTGTGAGGGCCTATGCTGTAAGTTACAGCCCACATTTTTTCCTTTTAATTTACATGTAAAGCCCAAGTTCGAAACATGACGGTCATGAATGAAAGGGAAAAAACAATTACATGTACTGTGCCTTAACTTACAGTATAGCCCAAACAAGATTAGTAAGATGTTTATGATATTGTTTTACACCTCATGCCTTCAGTTAAGCTTTAGCCATCAAAATTAGCCAATGACAGCGTGCATAGTGTCGTAAAGATGCAATAAATTAATATAGTTTATTATTGAAATGTGATCTCTGATCACATTATTTTGATAAGTGAGTAAGTAACATTTTTTTTTTTTAATTTAACAATTTTTTTTTATTTCCTTATTATTTACATTGACAATTACAGTTACAAGCATATTTACCAGACACACTAACACTAAAAAAAAACACTAAACAAATAAATAAATAAATAAATAAATAAATAAGAAATACAATAATAGTTAAACATTACAATAACTAACTAACTAAATAAATAAATAAATATGCCAAAAACAAAAGGACAAAATAAATAAAATTAATGAATAAAAGTACAAAACACATGCTGACAAAACGTTAAATTGATGCTTAGTTAAGAAAGAGGCAATGATTTTTTCCATTTTTTGTAGTGTTTATGGAGCCTGTCATTTCTTTTGGCAATTTTCCTCTCTATATGATGAACTAATTTGATCTTTTCAAAGAAACTTCTTAATGTTGGGTTAGTTTTGTTCAGTTTACGTGTATAAATAAAAGATTTAGCAATGAGTATTAAGTGATTCAAAATAGCAAAATCTTCATTGTCATTAAATACGCCAAACAGAATATTAATTAGTGTTAACATCTCCATAGATATGTTTTTGTTTACTAATCCAAGATGAGAATGCAAGCCAAAAGTTTTTTGTTATATTACAATGAAAGAGTAAACGCTCAAGGGAGTCATCTTCTTTCTGACAAAACATGCACAAAGGCGATTCAATCATTTTAAAATGGAACAACTTATCATTCGTGTATACAATATCGTTCAGTATTCTTTATTGGAACTCTCTGATTTTTGTCTCTATTGTGATGGTAAACGGTAAAGAATAGATTTTTTTCCAATCAACCACAAGTTGGGGATATTTGCTTTTCATCTTTTTTAGAGCAGAGGGAGGAGTTTGTTTTTTAGTTTTAAATTGGTTATACAGTAATTTTGATGTTACTTTGGACAAATCGATTTCAGTTTCATCCAATTCAATATATACTTTATCTCCGAGGATTGATGGATAGAAATGTTGATTTGTTTGTGACTGTTTTATAAGAAGTCTCCACACGATGGGAATAGCATCCACAACACTTGTTAGCTTAAAATATTGAGCTGGGGATAAATTTGCTGCCAATACCTTCGAACTTTGAGTAAGTAACATGCAGTTTTGTTTATATCAGATATCAGTAAAGGCACCAATTCCTCCACCATGCTGGTGTTCTCAGAAGACACAAATAATCTCGCCATTTGTGCCATAGTGACAGTGGCCATGCAGTTCTCATTCTTTCTCGTGGCTTGCTCCTGCAAGTTTGACAAAGTCACAGATTTTGCTGGTGGTACCAACTTTGTTGTTCTGGCCATTCTTACCTTCTTCTTGGCAGAGGTAATAAGGAGTTGATGAAAAGGAAAACTGTTTAATGGAAAACAAAATGTACTGTTTATGACCAAACATCTTACTTAGTTACTCTTAACCAAACTCTAGTTAGCTGGTACTGTGATATTTAACATACAGCTTCATGTATATGACACTTGACAGTGAATCCAAAATTAGGAGTCTGTGTCTCCACTAAATCTAGGAGTCAAACCTTTCCTGGTATAGTAGGGTTATTCCTAGAACTGCTTTTCTTTCTAAAATACCTTGTTGCTGCAGAGATCAACATGAGATCACAAAAAGAAAATTATTAGGGCAGCTGAAGAGGAAACCATATCATTCCAAGACCCTTTGATATTGTGGATCCTTTTGGGGGTTCTTTAGCCAGGAGCAAGTGGAGACTGCCCACTGGCTGTTCTAGAGATAAATCTGCTCCAGAAGGAGTTGACCAAACCCAGTAAAGAAGCTCAAGGTGGAGGCTCCTAGTCATACACTCCTGACTCAATGTAATCGCCTGATTTCAAGCCAAAAAGGACTAGGTATGCGTCTGTAAATTATGGGATTAGCAACTATTGATCCACATAGTCATAAAGTGCAGACCAAGCTTTACAAGATCCCCAAGTTTGGTGCAAATAGACGTAATAGTACATGCACATGTAAGCAAGACACAGCCATTTGAAAATGTCGAAATTTACAAGGAAATGTATGGCCATCCGGACGCTGTGTCCGGATGACCAAACATTTCTTTGTTAATTTTGACGTTTTTAAATGGCTGTATCTCAGTCAAAACTAGCCTGATTAACACCAAACCTGGGGATTTTGTGAATCTCAGTGATCTCTTTCTGACTATGTGGATCAATAGTTGTTTATCCCATAATTTACAGAATCGTACCTAGTCCTTTTTGGCTTGAAATCAGGCAATACTGGAGGGAAACCCACAATGCACTAATTAACATTATGCTTGCTTCCTGCAACGGAAATCATAAGCACCAAGTTGGCTTAGAGTCACTTGACTTGGACAAGATCAGTACTGCATCCTTAACTTTTCTTATGACCCAAACTACTTCTCAGAGGGACAGTCTTTGAATCCTAGAATTTTCTTGAGTCAATGTCTGGTGTTCAATCCAAAATAGTATTCCTCTGTCTATAAAGCCACAGTAATGACCAGGTATAAATTTTTTTTTATACTGGTTTTGACCTTCCACAATTTCTTTTTCCTTCAAGCTAGGTTCCAATATTATTATTTTTATTGGCATTGTTTTTATCATTGTCATCATTATCATTACTACTTTTGTAATCTGCATAAATGAATTATGATCATATAATTTGCAGACTTGCACTTACCGTAAGCCATTTTGGTCCAGTTTATGAACTTGTCTTATTCTCTATTTCAGTACCATGAATCTATGGTAACTTTCTCTTACACTGTTTCTTATAGACATACAACTGGCGTCAGATCTTGGTAACTGTGTTTGTGGTTGTTTGGGGCTTGAGATTGTCTGGCTATCTACTTTACCGTATCATCAAGATAGGAGAAGACAAGAGATTTGATGACAAGAGAGAAAATTGTGCAAAATTTGCTGGATTTTGGACTTTCCAGGTAGGTAGTATAGTAGTGTTCTGGACAAACAATTTTGCGTACAGCCAGGATTGAGGAAGTAATTAAATGGTGCTGTTACAGAAAGCTTTCTTCAATGTAACATGACCATACAAAGACAAATTAATTCTGTATGAAATATTTCCCTCTTGATAACAATGTTCTGGGGACTATTTTTCAAAGGCTCAAGACCTTGGAAGGAGAGGCTTCATGCTCTCAGAGGGAATTTTGAGTGTTTGGGCTGATCAGTATAATGCACTTCAAACTCTACACCCACCCCTCTATACAGTGTGAATAATGGCCCCCAGTAGCCTATGGGCCTGCATACTTTATGGAGTATGGGAGGGTCAGAACTATTTACTCTTAGCAATGTTTGTGAGCGAGATCTTGTTGAGGGTGACGGAGGGAGTTAATAATTTTAACAAGGCTTGACTTATATTCATGAATACCAGCACATAGAGGTTTGCGTTGTCAGCACCTATGACATCAGCATTTACTTGAATTACAAAATTTTAAGTAAATGAAATTACTGGTAAATACTATTTCTTCTAAAGAAATAAGGAAATAATTATATCAAAATTCTTTGTTCCTGCAATTCTTCACTTTTCCATGTCAGAAATGTAACCCTTTTCTTTGATATCTTCAGGCATTCTGGGTATTCACAGTCAGTCTACCTGTTATTTTCATCAATGCCCCGAGCAGTGCCACTAAGCTGGACCCAGATAATAAATGGACACCGCAGGACATCATAGGAGTTATAATGTTTGCCACTGGGCTGCTCTCGGAGACTTTTGCTGACTTCCAGAAGTTCAATTTTAGAAATAACCCTGCGAATAAAGGAAAATTCTGTGATGCAGGTTAGTGTGGAGGTGGCAGCATTTTAGACCTGGAGACAAACCTTGGGCACGTTTTTGGGAAGTATTATGAGTATTCTGAAAAACAAATAGTATTACCTAAACAAATCTATGTTGTATCTGTTACCTGGTAATGAAAACTGCCAATTGAAATAACCAAAGTGAAGGTATAGTTCTTTTCATTAACATTTTGGAAGGATAATGTACTTCTGAAATATTAGTGAAAAGAATTACATATTATGTCCCATTTATGGAGGCGTTCTGATTTTGGAATATTCGAAATATTGTCCTCAAAAATGTCTCCCTTTGAGGGCTACACATGTAAACCGGTGATTGGCATGATGATTGTAAAGATGTTTGACTTGGTTTTGGTACTTTCAGATGTTAGGGATTAAAGATCCCTGCACCTGCACCTGCACATTTCTGATCTTTCAACTCAAATTATTGCAGGAAAGATGAAAACTTAATTGAAAAGGAACTGAATTAAAAGCTAACAAGTGGCTTTACTTTATTTTATTGTATTACACGAGCACAATTTGCAACTATTACAGTGCTCAAAGGCTTTTTTGATTCTGTGCCATATAAGCCCAGAGAACAGCATTTATTGCCTTATGAAAGTGTCAATAAATAGGCAGAAAAATGATTAAACTGCAGTGTCACGACTGTAACATATCTGAATTTAGGGCCTTGTTTTTCATCCCATTCAGGTTTTTTGGGCTCCTAAACCATTTTTCTCTATTAGCTGCATGAAAAAGTCTACAAATCATGTATGACAAGCTTTAACAATTAACATTGAATTTGAATTCTGCATTGGGTGTTTTGATTCGTACTCACTTGTCCTTTTTTTTCCTTTCACGGGTATATACATGAACTCACAATAATTTATTGGTCTGCTCCCAGCAAGGCTTCATAGCTCAGTTGGTAGGGCATTGCATCAGCACCTCAAAGGCCATTGTTTTAAATCCGGTAGAAACCTTGATACACTTTTTCAGGCTTTTCTGTATTTTTAGTAATATTGTATTCTCAACTGCAACGATCATTCCTTCATTTGAGAGGCCTTTTTTAATGGCAGGTTTATGGAAAGTAAGCAGACATCCAAACTACTTTGGAGAAATAACATTGTGGATAGGTATCTTTATCATAAGCTCAAGTGTACTAACTGGTGGCCAGTGGACAGCAGTGTTGAGCCCGATCTTCACCATCAGTATCTTGCTCTTCTTGAGTGGCATTCCTCTGCTGGAGAAGAGTTCAGATAAGAAGCACAAGAAGTAAGTACTATTGCACAGCTGAACTGATCCAAAGTGAAAAACTGCATGCTGATTGATTCTTTGAGAAGACCTTGTCAGTGAGGTTAAATCCTGACGAGTGATATGGCCTAGGAAGTATTGTCAACTCATGAAATGACTTTGCAACAAATGACAACTAACCTCTCAACTGCCCTTCAGTTTGTTACAGTAATGTGAAGTCTTGACAAAACATCTACGCAGTTCTTGACATTTTTAAAATCTGACAAGTGACATTGGGACCCTACCCAACCCCACCGGCAGGGCCTCTTTGAGCAATCGGACATTTGCTACATGTACATGTACCGGTATGCTGACCACAAAGATGCTAAATACTGATAAAGACCTGGGGACAGGTTCCCAAAGCCTACATAAGCATTTATACGTCCTAAGTGTTGTCTGGCAGCAATGGACTTTCCTCTTACAATGTTACAATACTTGACAAAGATCTTAGCCTAGGATGCATGGTTTGATGGACCCATTCCTAGGCTTAATTTTACAGGATCCTGTTCTATTAGTGACTTGCAGAGAAATTTCCAAGAAAATGTAGTAAAAGTTAGAATGGTTCTAAGAAGCTGAAGAAAGTAGAACAACTTGAATTTGGAAAAGGAAGCTGTTCCCTTTTTAGTGGAACCTATTCGCATTAATATGCCAGGACAAAATTTCAGACAAATATGGCCAAACTGGGCAAGCTAAGGTAGCTGCATTAGGTTGAGCTCTGGTGGCGCTGTCTTCAAAAGCTATTGAAACCCACAAACATGTTCATTGTAAACTTATGAATCCATTATTTTATGTTTCACAGGAATGAAAACTACCTCACCTACAAAGCTACGACAAGCCCCCTCATACCACTCCCCCCTGCCTGCTTCGGTGCCATCCCAGCACCACTCAAGTGCCTGTTCTGCTGTGAATGCCCATTTTATAACTATCTCGATGATGATGAGTCTGAGAGAATCGTTATCAAAACAGAAGGATCACCTCCAGTGGAGCGGAACCCTCAGGAAAACGTCTGAACTGCGCGAAAGTTTGGACTGCAGCGAATTTATGGGATGTTCCAGTCGTTCCTAGCTCGAATATGGCAAAGATGACTGAACATTATAGGAATGTGGATATACAGTATGATAGATTATTTAGGCATGTGCTTAGAAACTAGATTTGCTGAAAGTAGGTAGTATTCAACAATGTATGTAAAACATGAAATCAGTGGACAGTCAACGTGAAGGCTGTAACGTAGTTTTCAGGTATCAGTCTGCGTTGGAAACAATGCTTTGACGTCAAGGCATTCATGTTGGTGGGTAAAAGCAAAACTGTTCCATTTCTTTAGGAATCAAACTATTTTTATGCGAAAACTTTGCAAAAATTTCAGTTGTTTAGTCCACCGACATCGCTACCAAACGATCCACACGCCAAACAATTTTCCCAACCTGATGGTATCTTGCACCGCAGTATTTTATTTTATAATTTCGCGAACGAAGTTATTTTGAACGCACCACTGAATCGTCACGGTTGGAACATATTTTGTGATCCTTTTATTCAAGTATTTATTAATACGTACTCGTGCTTTGGGGACTCAAATTTTTCCACACGTAGATGGTTTTTCTTCAAACTCTAAAAAGTTGGTGGTGGTAAATGAAAATCCAGGTCGCGTGTAACGGGAAATACGGAGATCAAGCAACGACTAAGGGTTCGCCGAGGAGAGTGCCGCTTGAAAACCGAATTTGAAATTTCTTTACCCATTTGACAGCCCTTGACACAGCAGTTTTCCCTGTTTGGTGGAAATAGCTGGTAACGGAATATAGTTAGAGAGCTACTCATGAAGCCTAAAACGAAAATTGAAAAATTCGCCGGCGAGGTTCACGTTCTTACTGGAACTCGGTTGCTTTTAAGGTCGCAGTTTTTGTGCACTTTGTGCGGCTACGAAATGTACAAAAATGTAAAACGCACGTACAGCACCATCGTACTGCTAATTAAAACCTTTTTGGTTTTTGACGGTCGCTTTTCTCGCCAGTTTAATGAGCCCTTCACGTGCGTTTTACTTTTTTTATTATTATTATTTCGTAGCCGTCCACAGCAAAACTACGACGCGTGGAAAAAAAACCCGAACGCTGCGTGAACCTGGAAGGCAAATTTGTCAATTTTCGTTTAAAGCTTTGAGAGTAGTTCTACCTATTTGGTTACGAGCCATTTCTTGCCAAAGAGAGCCAACTGAATGCATCCCAAGCACTGGTAAATGGGTAAAGAAATACTAAGCGCGGTTCATCCGCAAGCTAGGTTTCCGTGGGCGTTCCCATCGTCTATGTGTAAGCTCCCAAATGAAGCAGTCATTTCACGACATCCCAATTTAACATGTTCACGAATCCATTATATTAAATTGTCAGTTGGCATTTCGGGGATGCTTGGCATGCAAAATCACGGCTCAGCACTCTTCACGAGTGAAAAAGGCGCGTTTCGGGCTCTTACTAATATTAAGTCTGACACATTCTCATCCTCATCCCGATCTGGAAATACAATGTTTGGGCAAAAAGCAAGTCATAAGACTTTTGGAAAAGAGCATTTGTAAGGAGAAACGACTTTTAAGTGCTGAATGCCAAAATTCATGATATTACTTTTAAGTCACAAGTTTCAATAAAGCTTTCACAGCTTGTCACATCGTTTGCCTTGCGTGGGTGTGATTGAACCTTTTTCGTCCACTTGGTGTCTTCGAGTGAGATCATTTAAACTTCAACACGAGACTCTATGTAGCTGAACTTCGTCATAATCCATTCACCTGAACGGGAGGATGATTGACCTATGGCCTTGACACAAAGAAAAGGTTTCGCCTTTCCTTTGGTCTCGGTCTATTAACTAACTTGAGTTTCCCTTGTCTATGAGGAGTGACATGCATACAATTAGTTTAACCTTGAATTGCTTAAAGGGATCCCCTCCAATGTCTTCTAAGGATTATTTTGAGGCTTTTAGAACTACGCACAACACGAGGGGAAGTGGGAAGAACTTAATGCTGCCCGAAGTCAGAACTGAAACTGTAAGCCTAGGGAAGTCTTTTTATTTTAATGGATCAAAACTTTTTAATAATATTCCAAATAAAATGAAGGATCTTAATTCAGTCATGATTTTTAAAACTCGTATTTTAGAATTTTATAGATCACAAGCTTTTAAATTGCTGTTAAAGTTAGTGGCTGTATGAAGCTTTTTAGGCTCTTTTTTAAGTTCTTTTATTTTTGCAAGACCCTTATTGATATCAGCTTTTTTGCTGAAGAGGTCACCCTGGTTAAAAAACATTTATTATTATTATTATTTATTAGTAGAAATGGAAGTAAACAAGTAAAGAACCGTTACTTATACGCGGTAGTAATTAAGCTAGAAGCTTATGAGACCGTGCATAGAAACACACCAGCCGGCTATTTACAAGCGCAACCGGAGATTTGCAGCTTGGACTGCCACGAAACAAGTCCAGCTAGCGGACAGAGCAGGACTTGAACCCGGGATCAGCGCATACAAATCCGGCGCCCATTCCAATGCCCCCGGGCTCTGATGAGATACCAGTTATTGATCTCACGTACGGGGGGTGATAACTTAAACTCTGTTTGAGCCTTACGTCAGAGGCCCCACTTTTGTCCCGAAAACTAGAAACGCCTTTCTGATTAAATTTGGAGGGCGAAGATACTATCGCTCCTAACATCAAGGTTACCCTGTCTAATTTGTTCCTTGACGTTTTCCTAAATTTCCGGAAAATTTCTCACTTCTCTTCAGTTTCCGTCAATATCTGCAGATTCCAGAAAAATTAGAATTAAGGTTGACACTACCTTTGAGGCTCCACAACCATTAGAAACTAATCAAATTGAGACAAACATAAGCTCAGAGGAAATCCTACGAAGTCAATCCGAGGGAGTGCTGCCAGAGAAGCGGAACACCTTGGGCGAATTGCATAAAACTTAACGTCGGGCGTAACTGCCAAGGTCGGTCGTTCGGCCCAGTCAAACTCACCAACGTCTGACCTTAGCAATTACGCCCGACGTTAACTTAGGTTTATGCAACTCGGAAAAGAAGTGACCTAGAAAAACATCTGACAATAAAAAATTGCGACAGAATATTTCTTAAAATGTTCCAAGATTTAAAAAGCTAAAAAGCTGAATTAAAATCGACGACGTTTCGACGTTACCGTAACGTCATTATCAAGTCAAAAATGTATAAAAACTAGGTTCTATAAATACTAAGACGAACCATAAGTGATGAAAATAATTTACTAGTTAAACAAAAAGTTTCGTACGTTTGGAGTCCGTTTGGACGTTCAAATTAGGTTTGAATTTCTTGATGTAAAGCATTTCAAACACTAAACAATCAAACTTGCCTTGGCACTTTCTCAGAATCTTGAAAGGGCTCTCATTCAAAAGATCGCTCCTGCCATGCGCTCCATGAAAATGCATGCCGATTGATGAATTTTTGTGTTCAGCAAGAGTGGTGGAAAACAGTGCATTGGAGCAGTCGTAGGGCATTGGAAAATCTGCAACCCACAGGTTAAAAGGGTCTACTGTCATAACGACAAACAGTTTGCTTTCGTTTACCGTGAAACCCAACTAGCCCCGTTTGAAAAGCCAGTTTTAATGGCATTTTTAAATCTATCTGTTCCATTATCATGAAATTTTTCATTTATTTGTGCGTTCGTTTGCTCATTAATCTTCTACTCATTTTTGTATTCTTATAACTGTTTATTTACTTATTTATCCAGGTATAATTGATTTATTTAGTTAGTTATTCGCTTACATCGTCGCGTGGACAGCGTAGCTAGAGCCCCGAGGGGAATGAAGAGAAGTCGTTTTCGAGTATCAGTGCTTACCCAGCCCACGAGTGAACACAACGCTACTGTTTAACCCAGAGTGAAGAAATCCGCCAGCTTCATGGGCTAGCGTTATGAGACAACCTGAAACTCGCGTCTCAATTGAATAGAAAATTTTGTTTTTGTTAACACCATTTCCAAAGTTTGACTATTTTTTCGGGTCATTTGATAACAGCCCTGCCCTGCCCTGCCCTGCCCAGCTGCAATGCCAAGAGATTGACCGTGCCTTTAATGCCCACATAACCTCGGGTAAATAGTTTCTTATTATTCAACACAGGCATGCTAACACTGCACTGCCGTAATATGCTCATGGTACACCCAATACCTATCATCCCAATGTACCTATCATCCGCACGTACTACGGACACACTGCATTCGCTTCTACCCAATTTTCTGGTACAGTGACGGTAAATATATTTTTTATTCAAGGACAACCTCGCTAGGTTTACCTAAATTTCCAGTTAATTTCTTTCGCGAAATTTTATGGAATTTTCCGTTGAATGGTTCACGCCTCAAAAAATTCAACAACTCTCAGTTTTTTGTTTGTTTGTTTGTTTGTTTGTTTTGATGCTGTTTTGTTTTGTTTTGTTTTGTTTTGTTTTGTTTTTTCAGAAACTACCACATGAAACTTTTATCCCATTTTGGGACAGAAATATTTTGGTCATATGGAAAGTCCTCTTAGAGCTTCATAGTTTCTCGCCTCATAGTCTCATAGGCCCTCAAACCCCCCCTCCCACCTCACCCCACCCATTTTCCCTAGTTTTCCCGAGACAGTGACATCGTTGCGTGTAGTATATCCATTTTTTTAAAAACATTTCTTGCCAGGTAATTTTCGTTTGAGTTGATTTTGCACCCCAATTTTTTTTTTTCTCGAGTTGGCACCGATCGAAAGTTCCAGATTCTTTGGTCTAATGGAAAGCACCCAAGAAATAAGCCAAGAAATGAACCACCGAGGTCCATCTTGATAACTGATTACACCACCGCTCCTCACCTAACGTACATAAACATCAAGTCTGTTTTTGCTTTTTATGAATATCAAAATATAACCAGCATTAGCTCAACACTAAATGTTCAATTAAATCAGAAACTAACATCTGTATTTTTTTAAAGACAAGCACTTTGGTGATCAGCCTTTCAATCCTATACAAGTGAACTTTTTTTCAACAGGAGCACGCCGTAGGATCTTTTGCACCTACCCTAAACTGCCGCTTATAAACCCTGGGCTTATAAAACTTCGTGAGGGCTATTCAGGGGATGGGCTTACAAACGGAGGGGCTTATATCTGGGAGGCTTATATAAGCGCAATAAAACAAATGAGCTGCATCCGTTGTTGTTGATCAAAATACGTTTTCAAATACTGGTTCTTAATTGAAATTCAAAACATCTTAATAAATCCAACTCATTCCAGGTTAAACTAGAGCGAGGCTTGTTATTTTGCTCACAGGTATATGGGGGTATAAAGTGGCGGGAGGGCTCTTATAAAAGCGGGAGAGCGTATAAGCGGTATTTGTAGAACTTCCCAAAGTCGACACGCCATGACAAAGAGACAGATGCAACAAAGGTTTAATCAAAAACTCGTTTAACATGTTAATTTGAAACACTACTCTATCTAAAGGCGTCAACTAATGCTCAAGCTGTTGAGCTGAGTCTCAAAAGCATCAGTGCAAGCATTGTGTTTAATATAATGGTGAGGTGTAAAGGAAAGTTTTGGTCGCTTTCAAGAGAAAATTACTAGGAAAAAATATTTCTGAAACATATGAGTGGAATCTAAAAATCAATGAGAACTGAAACAATACAGTATGGCTTAGACAAATGAATATTGCATTTCGATGTCAAACGTTAACTGCATAAAGCTGTTGGCCATGCATGAATTACCGATGTCCGAAGTCAATTTTGTAAACTGGCTGCGAGCAATTAATTACTTTGCCTCAGTTTGTAAAAAGTCTTTCGCCTGCGCTTCTAACAAATTATTGCTGGTTTCCGTTAAAATAATTAAACACAGTGTTTGTAGGACGTGAAAAAAGTACAATTCAGGTCATTTTACAGCGGGCTAGGAAAGTAAACAGGTGAAATAATCGATTTTGAGTCAATTTTGGAAACCGATTGCGATTCCAATTACGGGAATTTTCAGTCTCTCTTCCGGTATCACTGAAAATTGTTGCGCGTTCATATCATTTCAGGTTCAACTCCTTTCCTCTCCTTATTTATTTTTTTTTTTTTTTCTACGAGTGGACAACATTTAGTTTTGACTTGATTATGCAGATGGTGTCTGTAAGAAGCGACCAGAAAATGAGAAATTCGTGAAGATCCACCGCCATAAAAATTGGAATTCGTCTCAAATAAGACTCATTTTAGCAAAAAAGAGTCAAAACTAATAAAATAACCTAGTGACATTTGCTACTGAACAAGACAATGAAACGGATGGTTTAGCGCCAAAGCAATTAACTGGTGTTTATATACGTATATTTACCCTGGGAAGTGCTTATAGCACAAAGGCTAGTGGGGCCGAGCAAACAGCTGAAGTAGATAATTCAAATTAAACATGACATTGCTAAGAATCCCAACTGGCCGGAGGCAAACTAGTTGGCTATTTACAAGCTTGGCCAAGGATTTGAACTCCGGGCTACCCTATGAGTGTGAGTGTTTTGTCCAAAAAAAAAAGGATTTCAGCACCCTAGGTGGATGCCTATTTTTGTTTAGACACAAGGTAGTTTTCTTACTACTTTACCAAAGGAATCGTGGCTTCTGGAAACGAGAATGGGGAAAAGAAAAACCTAAAAATACGAAGCTACGCAGACGTTTCCCTTATAGTGTTTATAAACATAAGGCAGCGGCTTCGCAATGTGCTTATCAACCATAATGTCAATATATCAAATGCATTCAACACTCCGAATAAATTAACGTACAATTTAAGTGTAATTTTATTTCGTACGACTTCATATTGGCAATAAAATTAAATCGTGTTCGTATTAAATGAGTTGTCGAATTCAAGGTATTCTTAAATAAATAGACAATAATGAACTTACCGATGTCCTTGGCCCACAAAGTAGCCGTGAGAACGGGGTTCTACCGAAATTAATAGAATTTCTTTTTTCTGATCAATATATTTGTACTCATTACCTGCATGTTTGAATTTGTACCGATATTCTAAGGAGAACGTACATGCTGATCTGTGTTAAGGCGTCACGAAAGAACGACAGGCGTCATGGAAAAGCTGAAAAAACACATGTGGCAAGATCGGGAGTTAGAAGGTCCCTGCACACTCGCTAGGCGTCAAACTGACTCACTCAGCTTCCCGTGAAGTTCCGCAAGATGCACAAAACACTGGTGTTTGGACTTCTCTTTTACATCACATTTCTCATGATAACAGAAGGCAACGGGGTAATTTCGAGTTGCGGCGGTCACGACGGCGATACACGTCCGGTAAACTCCATAATTTACCTCGTGAATGTTATTCCATCTTTATTTGCTACTATTAAAAAGAGCTAGTAGAAAATTGGAACTAATCTGTATTGAGCACAGCTTTCAATTTATACTTATTCTAAGCCACCAAAGAATATTTCAAAAAGCAACACTTTCAGTATGTCAACCATAGCGCCACTTTTGTTTATTCCATTTATCCTATTCCTCGGTTTTCCTTCTGCAGCTTTCCTATGACAGTTTTATTAGATAATTTGAAATCCCAGCGTTACTTATCAGTCGATCTCAGAGCGTATTTATCACTTCGATTCTTATCGTCACCTTAGATTCATCCCAGTCTTTTTATCAGGAATTTCAAAACTTCAAAACGCACGAGACGGATTTGCAAAAAACACTAAAAAACAGCACCTTCATCGTTACAAAATTCAAAACACTCCGTAACGTTCTGGAAACATTCTGTAGCCTGAAATAAAGTGGGACGATAAATTGACTCATTACTAATCTCAAGAACAAATTGTTAATAGATTAGAGAGTAAAGTTTCAGTTTGTTTTTAAAACTTCACTGGTGTGTGCATTGTGGGTTTTTTGTGTGTGTAAGGGGAGGGGGCTGCTGAGAGCGTATTCGATCTCGCAAACACTTGCCTCGCGAAAGGACAAGCGCTGCATGAGGACATCAAAAGAAGAAGTTACAGGTTTAAAAGACATATTGAAGGTTAGAGGTTTATAAAACTAACTGCAATATCGTGAGCTGGTATATATCGGATCTGATTCGAGACGAAAGCGATATTTACTGCCTTCTGAAAACAAATGTTCGCTGTCATTCTACGAGTTTCACTTAATATATGCGGAATAAACGACAAACAGAGAAGGAAAAACCCAAATTACTTTTAATTCCGCTCGTAGCGGCAAAGCTTGTCAGGCTTATTGTGCAATATCAAAGAGTCGCTGAAATTGCTATAATGCATATGATGCATTATTGCAGTAAAATCCCTTGATTAAAACGCAGAATAACAATGAAGAGGTAGTATCAGATCCATCAGGAATTGCTAAGTTCCGATGTGGGACAAGTCAAAATGGTCAAGCAGCACGTGCCATCTGATATCTTGTTATACGTTGATGCTCAATTAGAGCCGAAAAAACCTGTGTTTAACTCTTTGTAAACAGAAATATTGTCATCTGTTGTAGCTGTAGACAAAAAAGAAGTTTTTATCGTAGACAAAACACTGCGGTTGCGTAATATTGGCCGCTTGTGTTTTAAAACTACCAGTCTGAAAATTGGTGATTTTTATCTGGGCATCGTTTACGGCGTATGGTAGATTTTACTGTAGATCAGCTTTTCATTCTCGTAGAAGAAAGCTCGATGTGCGACATGCTCTCTTGCCAAGTCTTATCAACCACGCTTATTGTTATCTCCGTCAAACAGTGTCATACAGTACAGCTTAACAAACACAACAGCTCGTCAGGTGTTGTGTCATATGTCAAAACAGTTCACACAGCAAACGCCTCTCCACAACTGTTTTACGCGTTACTGCCTGTGGGAAAAATTTTGGTGGTTAGGCTTGCTCTTTACGTGTTATTCAGGACTTTTGAATCATAAAAATTCTCTAACCAATGAAGCAACATACTAGAAAGAAGGAAGTTTATGCACACCAACAACGTTGCTGACAGAATTAACTGTAGTGAATTGTTGACAGAGTTAATAGTAGTGAATTGTTCCTAAGATCAGTTTCTCGCCCGTCACGAATGTCATTACGGGACGGGACGGGATAGGATTGAACGGTTTTGCAGGAAACTCGTTTAAATTTACCCGTCTTCGCATCCATCTGCGTCGACAGATTTTGATCCCTGTCAGACAAGAAACATGTCGAAATTTACTCTTAGACGCTTTTCTGGCCATGGTTCCGAAGATAATTTCGTCGAAAGGACTGGGACTTGGTCGATAGCAAAGCACTTTATAATCGCAACTTGGCGCCTCTAACCCGTCCTTATTTAAATTTCTGAGAACAAGATTAAAGTAGTTTAATTCAGAATACTGGTTCTTAATTAAAATTTAAAACTTCTTAATAAATCCAACTCATTCCAGGTTTAACTAGAGCGAGGTTTATTATTTTGCTCACGGGTATATGTGGCTATAAAGTGGCGGGGAGGGCGCTTATAAAAGCGAACCACGAACTTCCCAAAGTCGACACGCCATGACAAAGACACAGATGCAACAAAGGTTTAATCAAAAACTCGTTTAACATGTTAATTTGAAACTCTACTCTATCTAAAGGTGTCAACTAATCCTCAAGCTTTTCACCTGAGTCTCAAAAGCGTCAGTGCAAGCATTGTGTTTGATGGTGAGGTGTAAAGGAAAGTTTTGGTCGCTTTCAAGAGAAAATTACTAGGAAAAAATATTTCTGAAACATATGAGTGGAATCTAAAAATCAATGAGAACTGAAACAATACAGTATGGCTTAGACAAATGAATATTGCATTTCGATGTCAAACGTTAACTGCATAAAGCTGTTGGCCATGCATGAATTACCGATGTCCGAAGTCAATTTTGTAAACTGGCTGCGAGCAATTAATTACTTTGCCTCAGTTTGTAAAAAGTCTTTCGCCTGCGCTTCTAACAAATTATTGCTGGTTTCCGTTAAAATAATTAAACACAGTGTTTGTAGGACGTGAAAAAAGTACAATTCAGGTCATTTTACAGCGGGCTAGGAAAGTAAACAGGTGAAATAATCGATTTTGAGTCAATTTTGGAAACCGATTGCGATTCCAATTACGGGAATTTTCAGTCTCTCTTCCGGTATCACTGAAAATTGTTGCGCGTTCATATCATTTCAGGTTCAACTCCTTTCCTCTCCTTATTTATTTTTTTTTTTTTTTCTACGAGTGGACAACATTTAGTTTTGACTTGATTATGCAGATGGTGTCTGTAAGAAGCGACCAGAAAATGAGAAATTCGTGAAGATCCACCGCCATAAAAATTGGAATTCGTCTCAAATAAGACTCATTTTAGCAAAAAAGAGTCAAAACTAATAAAATAACCTAGTGACATTTGCTACTGAACAAGACAATGAAACGGATGGTTTAGCGCCAAAGCAATTAACTGGTGTTTATATACGTATATTTACCCTGGGAAGTGCTTATAGCACAAAGGCTAGTGGGGCCGAGCAAACAGCTGAAGTAGATAATTCAAATTAAACATGACATTGCTAAGAATCCCAACTGGCCGGAGGCAAACTAGTTGGCTATTTACAAGCTTGGCCAAGGATTTGAACTCCGGGCTACCCTATGAGTGTGAGTGTTTTGTCCAAAAAAAAAAGGATTTCAGCACCCTAGGTGGATGCCTATTTTTGTTTAGACACAAGGTAGTTTTCTTACTACTTTACCAAAGGAATCGTGGCTTCTGGAAACGAGAATGGGGAAAAGAAAAACCTAAAAATACGAAGCTACGCAGACGTTTCCCTTATAGTGTTTATAAACATAAGGCAGCGGCTTCGCAATGTGCTTATCAACCATAATGTCAATATATCAAATGCATTCAACACTCCGAATAAATTAACGTACAATTTAAGTGTAATTTTATTTCGTACGACTTCATATTGGCAATAAAATTAAATCGTGTTCGTATTAAATGAGTTGTCGAATTCAAGGTATTCTTAAATAAATAGACAATAATGAACTTACCGATGTCCTTGGCCCACAAAGTAGCCGTGAGAACGGGGTTCTACCGAAATTAATAGAATTTCTTTTTTCTGATCAATATATTTGTACTCATTACCTGCATGTTTGAATTTGTACCGATATTCTAAGGAGAACGTACATGCTGGTCTGTGTTAAGGCGTCACGAACGAACGACAGGCGTCATGGAAAAGCTGAAAAAAACAGATGTTGCAAGATCGGGAGTTAAAAGGGTCCTGCACACTCGCTAGGCGCTAAACTGACTCACTCAGCTTCCCGTGAAGTTCCGCAAGATGCACAAAACAATGGTGTTTGGACTTCTCTTTTGCATCACATTTCTCATGATAACAGAAGGCAATGGGGCGGCTCCGAGTTGCGGTCACGACGGCGATACACGTCCGGTAAATTCCATAATTTAACTGGTGAATGTTATTCCATCTTTATTTGCTACTATTAAAAAGAGCTAGTAGAAAATTGGAACTAATCTGTATTGAGCACGGCGTTCAATTTTCACTTATTCCAAGCCACCAAAGAGTATTTCAAAAAGCAACAATTTCAGTATATTTTAACCACAGCGCCACTTTTGTTTATTGAGTTCATTTATCCTATTCCTCGGTTTTCCCTCTGCAGCTTTCCTATGACAGTTTCGTTAGATAATTTGAAATTGTAGCGTTACTTATCAGTCGATCTCAGAGCGTCTTTATCACTTCAATTCTTATCGTCACCTTAGATTCATCCCATTCTTTTTAACACGAATTTCAAAACTTCAAAACGCACGAGACGGATCTACAAAAAAACGCTAAAATACAGCACCTTCATCGTTAGAAAATTTTCGAGTTTTAATTGATCACACGCACATTTAGTGGAACTTCATCGGTCTTCTCAATGATTAATTTCTTTTCTTTTTACAGTTTTGTAAAGGAAATAAGAAGAATTTCAAGAGACGAGTCTGTGTCGCCGCTCGACGATTGAACTGCGAACAATTCCTGCAAGACGAGAACGTAATCATGCACCCAAGAGTTCAGCAAACCGCTCCCAAATAACAACTTGAAAACACTCTGTAACGTTCTGGAAACATTCTGTAGCCTCAAATAAAGTGGGACGATAAAATTGACTTATTACTAATTAATAAATTAGAAATTAAAGTTTCAGTTTATTTTGAAAACTTCACTGGTGTGTGCAGTGTGGATTTTTTTGCGTGTGTGTGAGGGGAGGGGGCTGTTGAGAGCGTATTCGGTCTCGCAAACACTTGCCTCGCGAAAGGACAAGCGCTGCAGGAGGACATCAAAAGAAGATTTAGAATTGAGACAATTTTAACATGTTTCATTGTCACCACCCTATCGTTAGCGAAATATCGTATAAAGGGTTATTGCCTCTGGTTCAAGGGAAGGCATGAGAAAAATTAACGTTTAACTGCCCGATATGAGCAGTTAAAACAATAGCGTAAATTGCTGCACTTTTTAACCAATTCACCCAATAAAATAGTCTCTTTATTTCTCTATTTCAATTGATAAAATACATATTAAAAGTTACAGGTTTAAAAGACATATTAAAGGTTAGAGGTTTTTGAAACTAAATGCAATATCGTGAGCTGTTATATGTCGGATCTGATTCGAGAAGAAATCGATATTTACTGCCTCCTGAAAACAAATGTTCGCTGTCATTCTACGAGTTTCACTTAATATATGCGGAATGAACCGACAAACAGGGAAGGAAAAACCCAAATTACTTTTAATTCCGCTCATAGCGGAAAAGTTTGCCAGGCTTATTGTGCAATATCGAGAATTGAGAATGGCTGAAATTGCTATAATGCATATGATGAAATTTAAATTACAGTATCGACGAAAAGACTTCCAGTAAAATTTAAATTAGGTATTATAATTCGACAGACTATAACGATTTTTGGGCTAAGTCAGATGGTGACCGGTAGTTTTTTTCTCTTTAATAAGGAATTAACAGAGGAAAATATGAAACCACACGGAACTATATAAGCGTCACTGCAAAGATTGCATATTATTTTTCTATTTTATTTTAAATTATAACAGATTTTTGAATCAGAACAGAAGCTAGCTTAACCATTGTTTATTGACGAGTGCTCACGACCCAATTCCTCTTTACAATACGAGTATCAAGCAATCATAAGAATAGAAAATAAAACCGCAAATTGTTGCATTGAGGAATATTGGATTGATCACTTAACAAATTCTCAAAACAAAGAGAGAGCAAAGAGAGAATAATTTTTAAAGCTTGGAACATGCAGGTTCGACTCTTAAATAATCCCTTGATTAAAACGTAAAATGACGACGAAGAGGTACTATCTTATCCATCAATTCCGATGTAGGACAAGTCAAAATGGTCAAGCAGCACGTGCCATCTGATATCTTATTTTGCGTTGATGCTCAATTAGAGCCGAAAAAACCTGTGTTTAACTCTTTGTAAACAGAAATATTGTCATCTGTTGTAGCTGTAGACAAAAAATTAGTTTTTTTATTTTAGACAAAACACTGAGCGGTTGCGTAATATTGGCCGCCTCGGTTTTAAAACTACCAGTCTGAAAATTGGTCATTTTTATCTGGGCATCGTTTCCGGCGTATGGTAGAGCTGTAGATCGACTTTTCATTCTTGTAGAAGAAAGCTCGATGTGCGACATGCTCTCTTGCCAAGTCTTATCAACCAAGCTTATTGTTATCCCTGTCAAACAGTGTCATAGAGGACAGCTGAACAAACACAACAGCTCGGCAGTTGTTGTGTTATATGTCAAAACAGTTCACACAGCAAACGCCTCTCCTTAACTGTTTTACGCGTTACTGCCTGTGGGGAAAATGT